TGTTTGTTCCCTTCCCTTAACGCAGCCTAAGATCTGCCTACTATTTAGGAGGCTGATACTTAGCATTCTTGACTCAGATTGAGTGTGTGATCCATTAAAAAAGTATAAGAACTCACATTTGTCCATATTAAATTCCATCTTATTTGGTTTAGCCTTTTGTTCTAGCCTGCCTAGATCCTAATGGGTCCTTCCACTGCCTGAGTTCTCTCTCTACATTATGTCATTTTCAAATTTGATGAGTACATCATCTATGCCTTTTTCAAAGTCATTGATAAAAATGTATGACACAATGCCAAGTGTAAAGTCCATTTACTTTATACGTGCTCTGCCAAGACAGACCAACAGTCAATTGATTAGGCATCATTCATTGATGGGTATGGTCAACAGTTGACCCTAGATCAATAAGATGCCAGCCTTTCAGTGACATGACTTATTTTGATCAATGTGCTGGTTTTCCTTGTTGGCTAAAGATACACATTGTGCCAGTACAACACAGTTAGGAAAGCCATTGGGGTTGCTGTGAAGGGGTTCATCTAACATTATAGCTATTTTCTTAGTGGACTCATCCCAATGTTTAGTGGAACCCCAGCATTTCACAGACCTTAACCTGTGTGACGTTCAAAAAGTTTGAGAGACATAATTTCTGGGCAATTATTCATTTTATTAATAATGCTAACATTTTAATAAGATGTCAGTAATACTCTTGAATCCCAAAGACAATCATGGTGGTGGGCTCATGGCTTATATGCCCTTGGAAGAGGGGTGTCCCTGAGAGTGGCAAACAACTTTGATTGGTTGACAATTAATAAAAGAATGAATATTACAATGAGGGACTGGACCTATTCTAAAGAACTTTGATTATGTCATTTGCTTCTAAATTACCTAGGCTTGGGCAGTCTATTAAAAGAATTTATCCCCACCCAAACCTGAGTAAAAGATTGGGTGGGGTCTGACCAAGATAAAGGAGCGTTAATTCAATCTCATTATCAGTAAAGTCCTTCAAGAGACTGAACTTTAAAAATGAGGACTATAAAGGGGATGGGGGAGGAGGGGAGGGAGACACACTCTGGATCTCCCCAAATCATTGGTTATTAATAATCATTTCTCTCATCTGGGATATAAAACCAGCAAGAGTTAGTGGGAAGCCTTCAATATTGAACTCAGTCCACGTGCTAGAGTTACCCAACACTTTGGGAATGGGCCATGTGTTACCAACATAAGAAATCTAAGGCCCAGAGAAGAAAAGGATCGCACAATTAGTAAGGAGCAGAGCTTAGATTCAAACAAGAGTCTCCCAACTCTGAATTCTGTGTTCTTTCCATTTTCCCAAAATGATGCCTTTGAAGGCTTTTGAGTGAGAAAATAGCATGATCCAGAGTTCTATTTTAGGGATATTAGTCTGGCAACTGCATACACGAGAGATGAAAGGGGGTGAGACCAGGGAGGGGCAGGGAGAACAGTCAGGTGTAATTAGTGTTGGATTACCCAGCAGGCACACATCGGGAGGCTCCCACAGGCAAGCGCTCACTAAGTGAAGGGAGTCAAACCCAGTCTCAGCCCCACCCCCCGTGCTATAGAGAAGTTTCCCCTCACTGAACCCTAAAAACACAAAAGGCAGCTAGGTGGCGCCATAGCGTACGGAACACTGGGCCTGGAGTCAGGAAGACTCATCTTCTTGAGTTCAAATCTGACCTCAGACACTTACTAGCTGTGTGACCCTAGGCAAGTCACTTCACCCTGTTTGCCTCAGTTTCCTCACCTGTAAAATGAGCTGGAGAAGGAAATGGCAAACTACTCCAGTGTCTTTGCCAAGAAAACCCCAAATGGGGTCACAAAGGGTCGGACATGACTGAAACAACTCAACAACAACAAAAGGACATAGGGTGCTGTGAGAAGGGCAATATTGACCTCTGTGACAGACAGAAAGAAAGGTGAGGAAAGAAAGACAAGAATTCTCCCCCCACCCCACCATGCCTTGTCCCTCATGAAATACTTTTGGTAACCCATTCTTAAAACACATTTTTTTTAACTTTTTGGAGGCAATGTTGAATAGTGAAAAGACTTGAAGTCAAGAAGACCTGGACCTCTGATGTTTCTTGTCTATGTGGACAAGTCACCTGATATCTCTGAGCCTCAGTTTTCTCATCTGTAACATGAGGGTAACAACGCCTGGATCACCTATCTCGCAGGGTTGTGGTAAGGTCAAAAAAGATGTGTGAGAGGATAAAAAACCCTTTTAGATAAAATAATAGAACAATGACAGTGTTTTCCATTAGAATTATGGTGTAATTTTTTTAAGAGCTTTTCCATATGAAACAGATTTTTAGAGTATGAAAGGACCTCAGGATGAGTTAAATATAATCTGATCCTTTTATAAAGGAGGAGACCGAGGACCAAGGAAACAGCTAGGTGCAATGGATAGTGTACTCACTAGGTCTAGAATCAGGAAAACCTGAGTTCAAATTTGGCTTCAGATGCTTACTAGCTGTGTGGCCCTGGGCAAGTCACTAAAGCTGCCTGCCTCAGTTTCCTCAAGTGTAAAATAGCACCTACCACACAGAGTTGTTGTGAGGATGATCAAACGAGATAATATTTGTAAAGTGCTTAGCATAGCTGCTGGCACATAGTAGGTGCTTAATTAATAAAATGCTTGTTCCCTCCCACCTCCCCAGAATGACTAGCCTAAGTTCGCACAGCTAGCAAATCGTAGAAACAACACTCAAATTCAGGTCTCCTTGCTTCTGATCTCCCTATTATAATGCACTATCTCCCCACCCTAGCTTTTTTTTAAAAAGAAATTCTTACAATTTATGGAAATTATAATAGTTCGCATTTCCATAATGCTTTCAGATTTACTAAGCACTTTGCTCATGACAATCCCATGAGAATGGCAGGACAAGCATTAATACCCTCATTTTACAAATAAGGAAACTGAGGCTCAAGTGATCTCCCTGATGGAACACGGCTATGGTGTCAGAGTTGAACATTAAACCCAGGCCTCCTCACAACAAACCTAGCACTCTTTTTGTTGCTTTATGGCATATGTACGAGGAAAGGTCTTACAAGGGTCCAAGCTCCAGGCCCCAGAGACCTTGAATCTGCCACTGATTGCAATTGTCCTTCAGTCAGTCAGTCAACAAGTATTTATTAATTGCTTTTTGTGTGTTAAGCACTGTGATAAGGGCTGGGGATATTAAGAAAGGCTAGGTGGCGCAGTAGATAGAGCACCGGCCCTGAAGTCAGAAGGACTTGAGTTCATATCTGGCCTCAGACCAAACACTTGACACTAGCTATGTGACCCTGGGCAAGTCTCTTAACCCCAATTGCCAAAAAAAAAAAAAGGCAAAAGCACAGCCCTGAGGAGCCTCAAGGAGCTTACATTCTAATGAGAGAGACAACATACAAGCAACAATGTTCATACAAGATCTATATAGAGCAAATGGAGATAATCAATAGCCCAGCTGTAAAAAATGAAGACCGAGCAAGGATAACCCTGAGAAGACCAACCTCCAGCGGTGGGAAGAGCGGGGACTGGAAGGGACGGGAGGGTTGTCCACCGCCCTAAGCATTCACCAAGCTGGGCCCAAGGTCGGATCACCGTCCAACACGCGGCTCTGGATGAAAGCAGCTGCTCACTGCTGAGGCAACTTCACCAAGGCCAAGCAAACCTTCCTTCCCAGGGTCGCCTGGCTCTGCCCCCGCCTCCTTCCGCCCTCCCCTCAGCTTGTCATTGACCTTTAAAGATGATGTACGGGCCTTGATGTAGAAAAAGGACAAGCTGAGATTAAAGTGTGAGAAATTGAGACAGGAAAACAGAGGTGGGGGAGGAAGGAGGGAGGGAGGGGGAGGGGGGAGAGAGAGAAAGATTGAGAGAGAGAGAGAGAGAGAGAGAGAGAGAGAGAGAGAAGAGAGAGAGAGAGAGAGGAGAGAGAGAGAGAGAAGGAGGGAGAGAGAGAGAGAAGAGAAAGAGGGAGGGAGGGAGAGAAAGAGAAGAGAAGGGAAGGGAAGGGAAGGGAAGGGAAGGGAAGGGAAGGGAAGGGAAGGGAAGGGAAGGGAAGGGAAGGGAAGGAAGGGAAGGGAAGGGAAGGGAAGGGAAGGGAAGGAAGGGAAGGGAAGGGAAGGGAAGGGAAGATGGAGGGAGGAAGAAAGAGCAGGAGCCAAGAAAATGAAAAGGCAGGAGGGCTTAGAGGGAAGATGGTCACGGCCAGGGCTTGCCAGAGCTGGGGAGGCCATATTGGAATTTGGAGATTATGGAACTGATCCCAAGGGAAGAGAAGTATTCTTACTGAAAAAGAGTAATTGGCATTTCTATAGCACTTGGAAGTAGCAGGGAAGCCCAGAGGTTGGAAACCTGGCCAGCTTGCTTATTACTTATATGGCCTTCAGCAAGTTGCTTCCCCTCTCCAGACCTCAGCTTTCTCATCTGTAAAATGGAAGTGGGGAGGCCTAGATGGCCTTTAAGGTCACTTCCAGCTGTAGAGCTATGATTCAGACTAAGCCTTGATCCAGCCATTCCTTCTGCCAGTCAGTTCAGTCAATGCTTCAATGGTTTTCATGCATTCCTTTAGGGAATTCTTTGACAAACATTTATTAAGTGCCTACTATGTTCCAGGCACTGTTTTAAGCACTAGAGATACAAAGAAAGGAAAAAACAGTCCCTGGCCTCAAGGAACTTATAGACTGTGTGTATATAGTGTTCTAACAGAGAAGTAAATCCAAAACATATGCCAAGTAAATACTGAGTAACTTTGGGAGTGGGTGGAGGGGTGGGACTGAGTCAACAATCAACAAGCCTTTATTAAGTGCTTACTGTGTGTCCAGCATTGTGGCCGGGGCTGGGGATACAAAGAAAGGCAGAAACATGGCCCCTGGCCCCCAGGAGTTGACATTCTAGTTGGGGCAAGCAACAATGCACAAGACATCTGAGGGAATCAGGAAAGGTCTGATAACTGTGAAGCCTTGTAGAAATAGAAGCTGTCCTGGAAAGGAGACCCACTGTCTACAGTTAAGGACACATCATTGAAAGACTTTATTTTGGCCCGTAGTTACAAACCAAGGCAGGGAGAAGCATCAGCTGGCATGTAGAGAAGGATGATTCTATGGGGCAA